CGTTTCTAAAACGTTTCCGTTTCCTCTTTGTTCTTAAAAACTCATTTCCGCATTTCCTAACGTTTCGCTTCCGCGTACTCGTTTCCGATTCCATACAACTTAGGTAAAAAATGAAATTAATCAGCTAAGAGTGTTTCAGAGATTTTAAAAAATCTTCTTAAAAAAAAGTATCCGCTCTTGTGTAATCAGCAAACGAGTAAAACCCTTGAAAATCACGAATGGAGGATGCTTTCTGATAGCTCGCTGATCCTTAAATAAAAAACGAGCGAAAAAAGAAGAGAAGAGACTAGTGAGACATGGAGAGCATAAAAGTAAGTCGGAAAAACGAAAACATAAAGAAATGGTGACTTCCGGCCGAACGTGGAATGGTCCACAGATGAATGAACGTTTGAGGTAGAGATTATAGTGAAGTAGAAAGAAAAGAATTAGTATTTAGGAGAGTTCCGGTTAAGGTATGACCGAAAAAAAAAAATTAGTATTTAGAAGAGTTCCGGTCAAGGTATGATTTGAAAAAATGAGACTAAAATTCAAGAGAATTGGCCTTCATTTTGAGAGAAATTGACTTTGTATAAGTATGTTTAGACAAAAGATCGAATCCCTTTTGTGAAAGAAATGGAATAGTATTTATATATTGTTACCTTTCCAGGCTCGGATACCGGGTTCCGTATCTTTAGCTGGGTCAATTGGACTTCGTGGTTTGACTTTGTATGATGCAATCGAGTACTTTTCACTTACTTACTTTATCTTCTTGCGCCACTTGGTCAACCATACGGGTCTGATATGGTGTATCTAGTCCCTCGTACCATTGAAACCGTATGATACGGTGGACCAAACGCCGGAGTAACCCCTCGGAATCGATTTCTTTCTATTTTAATAGTTTTTCAAGTATAAACTACATGTTTTAACCCTAGCACACATAACGTGAATGTGTTTTATCCTTTGACTGAGAATACAAACATATATAATGAAAATAATTTGAATTTAGTGCATAAAGGAGATATTTCATACCTAGCTTGAGTTCATGTATTTGTGTTCCGTCTCTTGGTGCCGACGAGGAGTATATGCTCATCTTCCCACTATGTTTTAGACTCAAATCACTCCAAGTAACAGAATGCGATATCCGGAATGGAGATTATAACATGGTTCTCTTCCCGGGAACATGTTTCCTTTCGTGGAGTTCCCTGGCGATCTGCATCGGAGCTCCCTGCAATTTTTTGGGACCCTCTCTTCTTTCTTTGGGACGAATTAGTTGAGAAGAGTTCTCTTTTGCCTTTTAATTTGTGCGTTATGGTATGTCACCTCCTCGTTTTTTCTGCTTTATCATTTCTGCTTTGTCGTTTATCTTGCTTTATTATGGTCATTACGTTATTTTCCTTTCTCACCTTCGGAGTCGGTGACTACTTTGTGGTTCAGCATGCACTTGCGGGAGCTACCCCCTTCTTTCCAAAAAAAAAAAAACTTTTATCTCATAGCTTTTTAACACGAGTACTACTCTTTCTTGACAACTTCAAGCATCATATTTAATAATTACTTTGATCTCTAAATACTTTTATAACTACTAAACCACAAATTACCAATTACGATTTCAATTATATACAGTAATTCTATTAAAAAAATTGAAAACTAGCTATTAAATCTATAGGGATAATTTTAAATAAATTTTATCGGTCATGGTTTCATTTGAAAATTATGTAAATATTAAATGACATGTTTTAATTTTGTCTTTTAACATTAGTTATTTTTTTTTCTTTTTCAAAATCATAAGTTTAAAACCTGAAAATAATCCTCTTTTGGTAATACGTCCATAATACAGTTTTATCATATTATTTAATAATTAGTATTACCAAATATGATCAAACTAACGATTTGTATAACTACGAAATTACCAACTACGAGTTGTTGTCTCATTTATTTATAATATTTTGATTTTATCATGTTTAGTAGTTATTTTTAACAAATAAGATCAAATTAAGGCCTTTAAATAAAGGGAAAATTATGAAAATACCCCAAAAAGAAATTTAAATTAAAAAAATAGATCATATCGTTTATAGTTAAAAAAAAAAGGCTAAAGTTTACATAATTACTTCTTCTTT